AGATAAACCAGATAGGGCACAAAACTACTTTTAATACTTTGAGCTGAGCCCCAAGGGAATAAAATCACAGGGAAGGGGTAACCCCTTCCACTGAGGGAATGAAGCGTAGAAGAAACTGCTGCAGACTCAGAGCAGAAGGAATGCCCTTGGTGTGGAGTGCTGTCAGAGATGGGGTGGGACTGGCTCCAGGCACACAGGCCAAGGGCAGGAGGGTTGGACACAGCCACAAAGCTACTTGGGTCCCTCCCTCTCGTTTACCTTTTTCTGCTTCTGCTGCATGGTCTTTAAGTCCCTCTGCTCCCAGGCAGCAGCAGAAGGTCCTCACCTCAGCGCTATCACGTCATCATGGCGAAGGCAGCGGCTCAGCACTGCCTCCATTGGGTTCCCTTGTTCCGTCCGATGTTGCAGGCCAATGTTGTGATTCTTTGGGTCTGACAGTGTGTGTTTCCAAGAGTTCATGATTTGAAGAGGTGGCATTTCTGTGATTCCAGATTTTGTGTGTCCATAGAGTTGATGGCTCTGTGTCTCTGGGCCCAACCTTTGCCAGGAAATGATCAGCACCTGCCCTAGTGCTGGCCAGGGGCCATGCCGGGTGTGGCGATCTCAGAGGGCAGCCAGCAGGGCCCTGGTCAGCAGAGTGCTCAGGACCAGGATGAAACCATCTGAGTAGGACCAGAGCACCCTGTGCCCAAAATAAGAACCACTTCTCCTTATAAAAGGGGGGGGCTTTCAGGGGCAAGCCCTGTCTTCTGCTCTGCCTCAGGGAGGCCCCCCAAAAAGGCCCCCCCAGAGAAGGCTGTAGGACATGAGCAATCCAAGAGGCATCTTGGAAGAGTTGATGTTGTTTACGAGTGGTTGGTTGTTTGCTCTACTGCCCCGAGTTCTTCAGGAGTGCCCAGCTGTGTTCCTCTTGTTCCTCACTACACTTGGCACAGGCCTTAATAGTTTACTTATTCAGTCCCCTTTTATTATTTATTTCTTTTTAAATATTTTTATTGCGTTTTAGAGAGAGAGAGGAAGGGAGGATTGGGAGAAACATTAATGATGAGAGAAAATCATTGATTAGCTGCCTCCTGCACCCCGCCTACTGGGGATGGAGCCCGAAACCCGGGCATGTGCCCTTGCATGTGCCCTTTATCGGAATCGAACCCTGGACTCTCAGTCTGCAGGTCTACGCTGTGAGCTAAACAGGCTAGTGGTTTTGTTTTGTTTTTTGTTTTCGTTTTTAATAGAGAGGAAGGGAGAAGGATAGAGAGTTAGAAGCATCGATGAGAGAGGAACATCAATCAGCTGCCTCCTGCACACCCACTACTGGGAATGTGCCCACAACCAAAGTACATGCCTTTGACCGGAATCGAACCTAGAACTCTTCAGTCCGCAGGCCAGCGTTCTATCCACTGAGCCATCCACTCTTTTATTTTTAGAATGTAAGCAGGGATACTTCATGGAAACCCCCGGAGGGCGCCATATTGCATTGGCGCTTCAGTCCCACGAGGGGGCGCCCACACTGCGAGGCAAGCTGAGCTCAAACGTGGGCGGGGCGAGAACAAGTCCCATGGTGCCCCGCGCGCACCGCCCGCCCTGCGCAGGCGCAGCCGCCCTCGGGCGTCCTTTGCTGCGGGCGGACTCGGCGGCGCTGCCGGGGCGGAGGCAGGGACAGCGCGCCCGGGACTGATCCCGCCGGACCGCCGCCATGCCGGACAGCTGGGACAAGGACGTGTACCCCGAGCCCCCGCGCCGCACGCCGGCGCCCTCGCCGCAAACCTCGCTGCCCAACCCCGTCACCTATTTCTTAAAGGCCTTCGACCTCCTCGTGGACCGGCCTGTGACCCTCGTGAGAGGTACGGGCTCCCCCCGGTCCCCCTGCTCCCCGAGTTCCCTGGGACTGACTGCGGAACGAACCTGGACACCCCGCTGCAACCCGGGGCGCCCACCCGTAGGTCTTCGGGCTTCATCGCCTACTTAGACCCCCCAACTGCACCCCCAGGCCTTGCCCCGGGGACGCCCCGTTCCAAACCCCTCAGTGCTCGCCGGTCCCGCCGCTTGGGGGTCTCTCCATGCAATCCTTTTGCCCAAATATTAGGGGTTGTTGGCCTGTCGCAGTCATGTGTGTCCTGGGGCTTGTCAGACCCGGCTCCCTGCACGCTTCCATTCTGCGGCGCTGTGTGCAGTAGGTGCCAGCAAACGGGTTTTGAAATGAAGGGACTCTTTGCTAATGAAAGCATGGGTGCAACATAATTGGGTGGCCAGGTGATGGCCGAGTTCCTCTCAACCTGTCCTCCGTGTGTGCCCAAATTGCTCCATGTCAAGTTTAAAACATTTGTTGCCCAGTTTGTGGTTCAGCCATCCCCGAGGGGGTGGAGGTGGGGGTGGGAGGCAGCAAGAATACGTTCTGCCCTCAGTCACTAGTGCCAGGAAATCCATCCTTATGAGTTTAACCAGCCAGCTTCATTCATTGAACAAAACATTTGGTGAGCATGGTGTGCTCTTTGGTTAGGGAGGATAAAGTCCGCAAACCAGACTCCCTTTGTGTTGCTATTTCTTCCCTGTCCAACTTGTTCACTTCCCTATGGGGAAGTTTAGGCTAGGTGAGTGGCGGCAGAACTGGGACTAGAACCCCTGCTGGTGGCTGAGTCTGTCCACACACTGGAATTTGTGATGGGGGTTGGCTGGCAGGCCGGGTGGGGGCTGCCTTCTGTCTCAGTCCCATCTGTAAATAAGAACCTGCCCCATAAGGTTGTTGGGGTAGAGGGGGTGCGGCACCACAGGGCGGGGACAGTAACAGGGAGCTCCCATAAAACCTAGTTCCCAGCCTACAATGGAGTCAGTCCACTTGCCAGTCTTTGTAAAAGTTGAGAATGAGGGAAATCTGCCCCTCCTATGACTTGTTAGAGTCCATCTAAACCACGTGTCAAACACAAGGCCCACGGGCCAAATCTGTCCCGCCAGGCCTTGCAATGTGGCCCGCACTGCGATGTCATCACTGCACTCCGCTGCGTTTCCATCACAATGACAGTTTATGACTGTTCAGTAAACCATTCGGCCCGCGATTTAGGCTGGATTTTAGATTTTGGCCCCTTCTCTGATTGAGTTCGACACCTCTAATCTAAACCAATGGAACCTGAGTCTGGGTGCTTCTCTTTGCAGAGTTTATAGAGCAGCAGCATGCAAAAAACAAGTTCTACTACTACCACCGCGAGTTCCGCCGGGTGCCGGACATCACCGAGTGCAAGGAAAGGGATGTCCTGTGCATGTTCGAAGCAGAAATGCAGTGGAGAAGAGACTAGTATGTCCTGCCCTTACACAGGAGCCATATCACATCATGCCCAAGACCTTGAGGGTGGAGGGGGTGAGGACCGAATGCTCGGTCCAGCCCATGCTTTCATTCTCTCCCAGGGTGCAGAGAAATGATTCTTTGTAAGCCACCTTTCTTGTTCCTTTTTCTTTCAGCAAAGTTGACCAAGAAATTGTTAACATTATCCAGGAAAGGATGAAGGCCTGTCAGCAGAGGGAAGGCGAGAGCTACAAGCAGAACTGTGCTAAGGAGGTGCAGCAGTTCGAACAGGTGGCCAAGGCCTACCAGGACCGATGTGAGTGAGCCTCATCTCAGCCTGACCCTCCTGCTTGCTAGCCAACCCTCTATTCCTTACAGCTGTCGGCACTGGAATAATCAGTTTTCAGTGCACTTGCCATGGTTTCCCAAAGCCTTGCAGGTGTAAGAGGGATTTATCTCTGTGCCCCAGGTCCCCTTTCTGCCTAATAACGGTCTTGGATGCTTGACTTTACTTGACACATTATGGCAGAAGTGGCCCAATGACTCTTCCCCATCTCTTCCCAGATCATGACTTGGGAGCCCATTACTCAGCCAGGAAGTGCCTGGCAAAACAGAAGCAGAGGATGCTTGAAGAGAGAAAAGCTGCCAGAGCTGCTGCTGCTCACTGAGTCCCCTCCCACATGAATATTTCTTGCTGAATAAAATCACCTTCAGCCCTCAACCTTGACTCATTGATGAGCCTAATAAAAGGCAACTATTAGCAGGCTTAAATCATCACTTTATTTTTCTTGTATAAAATTATGTGGTGGCCACAGCTGGAGCCTGGGTCCTCTGCACAGAAACTCTGGTGTGAGTCTTCACAAGATGGTCAGTGAATTCCTAGAAAGACAGACAGACAAGGCTTTTGCTGTAGAGCCAGACACGCTGCATTTGTACTGGTTAACAAAGTAGTGGGGGCAGGCAGTACCTGATAGGGAGACTTGGTGAACACCGTCTCCTTCCAGAGATCCGGGGTGAGATAGCTGTAGGTCTTAGAGATGGCATCAAAGGTGGCCTTGGCTAAAAAAGGGAAAAGGGTTGGTGCATTTACCAAAAACACAAGACTTCAGATGTAGGCAGAAGCTGTCCTGCTCCTAGTAAGAGAGGTTACTTTGCTTTTAGGGTTTTCCTCTCTCTGAAAATAGGCCACCAACCACCCATATTGTGATTAAGCAGTGCTCAGGAGCCATGCCCTTGTGAAGGCCACCTACCGAAGTTGCCGAGGGTGGCAGTGCAGCCCCTGGCCGAGGTGTAGCAGTCATCAATACCAGCCATCATCAGCAACTTCTTGGGCACAGGGGCCGAGACAATGCCAGTACCCCTGGGGGCAGGGATGAGGCGCACCAGCACAGAGCCACAGCGGCCAGTCACCTGAAAGGGTGGGAGTCAGAAGGCAGGGCCGGACTCTGCGGCCGAAGACCCCATCAGTCACCACCACCCAGCCTACCTTGCAAGGAACCGTGTGGGGCTTGCCGATCTTGTTTCCCCAGTAGCCTCGCCGCACGGGCACAATAGAGAGCTTGGCCAGGATGATGGCTCCGCGGATGGCAGTGGCTACTTCCTTTGAGCACTTAACACCCAGACCAACATGTCCATTGTAGTCCCCAATGGCGACAAATGCCTGTGAAGAGACGGAAGTGGCTGGCGGTCCCACTGTCCTGCACAAAATCAGTAACCGCTACCCAAGGCTTGTTGCGCCCCTCAGGGAAAGGCTGGCCACTGTGAGGCCAACTGAGGTCCTGAGGGGGTCCTTTCTCTCTCTCCCCATTACGAAAGTCACACGTGTGAAGTCAAGTGTAACAGTGCAGAGCTGGGAGAGTCTCACGAAGCCCCTGGGCAGAGACAGCCAGGAAAACACGAGGTGGGTGGGGGTACCTTGAACCGGGTCCTCTGGCCAGCACGGGTCTGCTTTTGCACAGGCATGATCTTCAACACCTCATCCTTGAGGGATGCCCCCAAGAAAAAGTCAATGATCTCAGATTCCTGCGAGAAACGAGATTTGTGAAAAATGATTAAAATGAATACCATCCCTGAACATAGTCAGTGGGAGACCTGACTTCCTTGTAGAACTGGTATTCTGAGTTACCAGTTTTTCCTTTACAGATTGATAACCCAACGTCAGAGACAGACTAAGCCCTGGGGGCCCTCAATATATGTCATCCCTCAATGAAATGAGACTGCCCAAGGCTGCACCTACCTAATATCCAAGGAAGAAAAGAACCCATGCGTTACCTTGATGGGCAAGGAGAATAGGTAGATCTCCTCTAGGGATTTGATCTTCATGTCCTTGACCAGGCGGCCCAGCTTGGTGACAGGGATCCACTGGAGGGAAAGGGCGCCGGTGAGGAAGACAGAACGCCCGGAGCCGCCCACATGGCCGTCTGGCGCGCATTGCCCGGACCTACCTCCTTGTCCTCGGCCTTGCCTCCACGAGCTCCGCGGCCTCGGCCCCTGCCCCGACCCCGGCCGCGACCCCGGCCCCGGAGGCCGCTGCCAAATCCTCCACGGAAGCCGCCGCGATTTCCTATTCCGGGGCCCCCGGGGCCTCCGGGCCCTCCCGCAGCACCGGCGTCATCCGCCATTTGCTAAATGGACAAAAAAAAAAAAAAAAAAAAAGTCAAGGCCCTGGCATTCGCGGTCGCCTGGACTAGGGCTTCCTCCCGCCCAAAACGCGGTCACACCACCCCAGGTCCAGCCCGGTGTCCGCCGATCGCCGCCGCCGAGGCCCCAGCCCAAACCGACAGGAATGAACACTCACGTGTTTTATCGGAAAAGAAGAACAAAGATTGCAGGCAGGGAGATTTTATATGGCGCCAAGTACCGCGAGAACTAGACTGCACCATCCCTCTCGCGAGTGTTCCACGGGCCTATAAGACATCTTGTGATTGGCTCCTCGGGGCCTCGCCAGCTCTGCGTGCGCCTGCGCGTCTCCGGGTCCCCGGAATCGCTATAAATTGCCGCGCCGCCGCGCGCGCCGCCGCAGACTGCAGGTAGGTCCGCGCGTCTGCTTCTGTGTTGCATGTGTCGCTGGGTGGGTGGTCGGGCGATCGGCGTTGGTTGAAAATCACCTGCGGCCTTGGCCGTGACCGTGGGTGAGATTCGGCGCCCAGAGCCACCGGGGGCCTCAGCTCACTGTCCACTCGATGTGGGGAGGTGAAACCCAGGCCCCGACACGCGCCGCGGTTCGGGGCCCTCGGTGTTGCGGATCGCGTGATCCGATGTCAGATCCTCACCCTGTTTTCTGCCCGCAGGTCTCCCGGATGCCCCAAGCCTGAGGCCGACGCCGCCAGGATCGTGGCGGTAGAGGGACTTCGCTGTCCTCTTTTTTGTTTACTTAATTTGTCTTGTCTTAGTTTTTTAATAAATTGTTGTTCTAACTTCGTGTGTATATGCGTGTTTTGGGTTCCCTGCCTGTAACCTGGAAAATATATCGGTTGACCGTAAGATCAGTGTGTGCTGTGAAGGAGAGACCTGTGTAGAACACCTCTTAAGCTCCTAGCCAGCCCTAATCTACTTCGGATGCCACACAGGGATAGAACTTAGCATCTCCAAGATTGGTGGGTGACTCCTAGGGTCCCACACTAGAGCAAATAAAGTACCTTGAGCTTGATAGGAGTCAAGCTGGGCCTGCTAGCCATTAGCAAGGAGTGTAAGATTCACAGTTCTAACAGTGGCTCCTTCGTAACTTCGCGCAGGACAGGGTTAGGGTCTTTAGGATTTGATGTGGGAACCACTCAGTGGTATGGAAATACTCTTTTCTGTTCTGTGCTTTACATGTTGGAACATGCTGATCTCTCAGGTTGGGATTGACTTCCCTATGCTTTTCTCAAAGGCCTGCCCAGATGGTCCAAGCCTACCTACTCAGAGATTTTCCCACAGGCTAGCTCTCTTCCTGTACTGGAGGTTGAATAGCAGTTTGGTCCTCATTTCCCTGGTCTGTATCTTAGAGCACCATGGGTCTTAGATCCTGAAGCCCCTTAGTTCTTGGAGATCTAGCCACCGGGGCAGCACTATTTTAGGAGGAAAAGGGGAGCCATTCCTTTGTTCCTGCTGAAGTCTCAGTCTTGGGGGTACTATCCCTAGGAGTTTGATTCCTGGCCTGGTGCTGCTTGGGGATCAGCTGTCAGCCACTACCAAGGCAGGGGCTACAGGGACCTACCCCAGGTCTCTGCCCTTTGAGAGGGCAGTTAAGAGCCAGGTGGTGCGGAGTCCCAGTGGGCCTGGGACCAGGATTGTGACTGGCCTGCTTTGGGACAATGTCACTGTGATGTCGGCCAGCTCCCCCTGTGAAATGGAGGACCCTCAGCCTCGGGTCAGAAGCTGCCGTCTAGACACATACCATGGTGAGCCCAAAACCCTCTTGCCTCTGGCCCTTATATTTGTGCCTAAATTAAGGTGACCAGATGTCCTGCTTTTGGCAGGACAGTCCCGATTCTTAACAATTTGTCCCACATCCCACAGCGTTTTTAAAAAGTCCCAATTTTTCTTTCCAAAAATCAGGACTTTAAAACACAGTGGGACACGGGACAAATTGTTAAAAATCGGGATGTCTGGTCACCTTAGCCTAAATCCGATTCTCAAATTCTCACGTTGAGAAAGGGTGGACAATGGCTTACACGCTCCCAAATGGAATAAGGGAAGCTTTCAGAGCACTCTGGCCAAGAGTAAATCCAGGCAAAGACCAGTTCTAAAGCTGGGGATTAGTATTCAAAGGTCTTGACCCTCCCACAGCTGCCCCCTCAAAGTGAGTGCTGGCTCTCCTGTGGCCCACCTCCCTACCCAAAGCTTTTGTTGGGGTCTCCCTCTTGGCATATGGAATGGGTGACCAGATTCTGGTCCCAGCCAGCCCCTGATGCTGGCCTGGCCTTTTCAGAGTGGCGGGTATGATCTCAACCTCTTCACCAGCCCTCCCAACAGCAGCTTTGTGTGCTCTGTCTGCCACGGAGTTCTCAAGAGGCCAATGAGGTTGCCATGCAGCCACATCTTCTGCAAGAAGTGCATTCTCCGGTGGCTAGCCAGGTGCGACTGGGTTCCCAAGAGGCTGGGAGGCGAGGGTAGGGTTGAGGGCTATTTCTGTAGCCCAGGATTGAGGGGAAGGTCTGCAAAGCCATGGCCATAAGATCCAGCTGCTAAACCTGAGACTGAAATTTGTGGGTTCCCTCACCTTGTGTTAGCTGCCTGCAGCCCCTGACCAGACCTCAGAGTTGAGAGGTCCCTAGAAAGCCCTCTCATGCCTCTTCCAGCTAGAGAGAAGGGACCAACATGCTGCCCCTTGCTCCCTTCCCAATCCCAAAACTCACCCAACTCATACCTCCTAGACAAAAGACCTGTCCATGCTGCAGGAAAGAGGTGAAACGGAAAAAGATGGTCCATGTGAATAAGCTCCGAAAGACCATTGGCCACCTGGAAGTGAAGGTAGTTCAAAGCACCCACTGCCACCAATCTCCTTGTATCCCTTGGGGGATGGGGCAGAGCAAGGAGAGGGAGCTGGGAGACTCTCACCCTCAGAGAACTGAGGGTTTCTGCTCCATCAACACAGACTGCAGACTTGGGATCATCCGCCCTGGCTGAGCTCCATGTACTTGCATTGTGACTTTGGGCAGGTTACATAACTACTCAGCTCCTGGGGCCCCAGATGGAAATGGGTTTTTTTGGTTGTTAATCCTCACCAGAGGATATTTTTTCCCATTGATTTTTTAGAGGGAGGGAGGGAGGGGAGAGGGAAGAAAGACACACACAATTGGTTGCTTCTGACATGCACCCTGACTAGGGCCATGAGTCGAACCTACAACCCAGGAATGTGCCCTTGATTGGGAATTGAACCCAGGACCCTTTGGTGTGTGGACCAATGCTCTAACCACTGGGAAGCACCAGCCAGGGCTCAAATGCAAAATGGGGATCAGAAAATTTTTAGAGGATAATTATCTTTTTGTCAGCTATTAACTCTCCAGCCTCCTCATTTTTAAAAAAATATATATATTTTATTGATTTTTTTTTTTTTTTTTTTAGAGAGAGGAAGGGACAGGGGGAGAGAGCTAGAAACATCAATGAGAGAGAAACATCAATCAGCTGCCTCTTGCACACCCCCTACTGGGGATATGCCCACAACCAAGGTACAAGCCCTTGATTGGAATTGAACCTGGGACCCGTGAGTCCACAGGCCTATGCTCTATCCACTGAGCCAAACCAGTTAAGGCAGCTTAATTTTTATTTTTTTTATTAAATTATCATCTCTATACATATACCATTGCCCAGCCTCCTAATTTTGTAGATGCAAAAACAGATTTAAAAATAGCCCAGCCTGCATGGCTCAGTGGTTGAGCCTTGACCTATGAACCAAGAGGTCATGGTCCGATTCCTGGTCAGGGCACATGGCTGGGTTACAGGCTCGATCTCCAGTGGGGTGTGCAGAAAGCATCCAGTCAGTGATTCTCATCATTGATGTTCCTGTCTCTCCCTCTCCCTCTCTGAAATCAATAAAAATATAATAAAAATAAAATAAAAACTTGCCATACATGCACACATACAATTGTTGCGTGCAACTCATCCCCCTCCTCTCAGAGATCTAGATTCTTCCCACCTCCAAGCATCTGTCCAACTTTCCCTCTTTTCACATCATTGGTGCCTAAGAGCATGGGAGGTTCCCAGTTAGTTCACTGGTTCCTAGTCAGTGGAATGAGTGTCATGGGTGGGCAATGATTTGGGGTGGGCAGCTCAAAGGCTGGCAATGCCTGCTTTGGCTCACCTTGCTCTCCCCACCCTTAGTGCAAGAACGCTGAAGCTGGCTGTTTGGTGACGTGCCCCCTGGCCCATCGCAAAGGGCACCAGAACTCATGCCCTTTCGAGCTAATGGCCTGCCCCAACGCGGGCTGCACGGTGCCAATAGCACGTGGGGCCTTGGCAGAGCACCTGCAGCAGTGCCAGCATGGTGCCCAGCAGCACTGCACCGGGGGCTGCAGGACCACCCTGGACCCAGCGGAGCATGGGCCCCACAACTGCCCCCATGAGCTACACGAAGCCTGGGGGCAGCGCCGGGGGGGCAGCCAGACCCTGGTGCTGTGCCTGCTCCAGCACGTGCGCAAGGTGCACCACACCACCAGCCTCATCTGCAGGCAGCTGGCCCAACTTGGAAACTTCCTGGAGAACGACGCACTGCTCCTCGGTGCCCAGCAAGAGGATGTCGAGGCCACCCCACAAGGCAGCATTGGGGCTGAGGTGTTGGGGGTCCAGGACCAAAGTACCTTATAAATTGAAGGATAAATAAACACGAGCCCTGAACTGGCTTGCTCCCGCCTTTTCTGTGCTGGCAGCCAGCCCTCCACCTCTGCAGGCACTACTCCCTTCACCCTGCAGGGACACTTTCTGGCCTCTCTCCCTCCACCTCTCCCAAGTCCTTTCCCACCGCTGGATTTTAACACAGGCTGCTTTACCTCACTCTCCTTTGCCTGACTACTTTCCACTCAAATTAATGTCTCAAAGGTTCTTCACAGTTACTTCCTAACAACTTGCTTACCAGCTTCATAGCCAGTAATACAAACACTCAAATTCCTGAGTAAAAGCCAACTCATCACTGACTCACAGTGAATCCTCATTATCTCTGATCTCCTTACCCTTATAATTCTCCTCGCTACTCACTCCCTAAAGCTACATGGGCTTCTGTGGCTCCTCCTAACGCCAGCCCTGTGCAATGGCTGTTCCTTAGCCTGAAGCACTGTTCTAGATAACCACAGAGCTCCCTGCTTCACCTCCTTTAGGGTTCTGCTCAGGGGTCATCTCCATAAGCCTCCTCCACAACCCCATTTACAATTGCACTTCCTGCCCTGGCTGTGTATCTCAGGTGATTAGTGTCAAGGCCAGATCTAAAGATGACGTATTATAGAAGAAATCTATATAATTTTATTATCTAACAAAATTTTACTACCCAATGTCACTCCAGTTACTTCAATAAAAAATTAAAAATTAAATTAAAATTAAAATGCTTGCTACCTAGTGAACTCAGTCGGTACCATCCCACTGACCCTAGCCGGGGTACAATCCTGCCAACTTCCGCTTCCTGCCGCTGCAGCCACAGCCATTGGCGCGGTCGTGTGACGTCACAGTGACAGCGCGGTGACGTGAGTGAGGCGCGCCGGCAGTTCGTAGCGGGCGCTCGGGTCTCCCTCACGCGGCGGCGGCGGCTTTGGTGCGGCTGCAGCGGCGGCGACATGGAGGAGGCTACGGCCGGACTGAGCCGCTTCAAGGCCAAGTGAGCGGGGACCCCGAGGCTGTGGGCGCCGCTGGGGAGGGGACCGGGTTCGCAGCCGGAGGAGCGAAGGCGCCCGCCGCGGGCCAGGTGTCCGTTCGGGTTTGGGGAGGAGATGAGGACTGTGTACAGATTGGTCTGCGGGGTCGTGGAGGCTGTAGTGATGTTATGAGGCGAGAGAGCCAGCAATGGCTGCTCTCGGAAGGGGGCCTGGGGCCCGGGGCCCGGCCAGGCTATTAAATTAGAAGCCAGTTGGGGAGTGGGGGACGAGAAATCTTCGAGGAGGAAGGGGCGGGCTGAGCACAAATGGAGGCCGGTTCTGGATGGGAGCGGGACCTCTGACACCCTCGGGGAGCGGAGAACCACCACCTTTGGGTCAGGCTGCTGGGAGCTTTCACCTGCTGTCCCTCTTCTCCGGGGAACAGGCAGACAGGTCAGGAGACGGGCGGATAGCAGTGGCCTAGGAAGCCCTGAATCCTGTGTTTTTTCCCCAAGTCTCTGGTGAACATCTAAATGCTCAGTGCCCATCGCTTCTCGGTCTTTTGGCTAAGATCAAGTATAGTATCTGTTCTTATCAGTTTAATATATGCTCAGTGTCCGGAAAGGGACAGACTCAGCCCTGCCCTTTGCAGCGCAGTTTGATGGCATAAGTGTGCTTTGCGAATCATTTTCTTCAGTGGCTGTGACAAGCACTAGCAAAAGAAGCCCGAGTGGATGGTCTCCTGGCCCCGGGAGTTGCAGGCCTTGTTTCATGTTGGCAATACGGCTTACCCCAGTGGAAGGCGCCATTGAAAACTGGCGAGAGAGGTCCAGGCCCCCCACAGGGAACAGCCTGTTCAAAACAGGAAATGTTAGCAGTGTCCCCTTTGGGCAGGATCTTGGAAACATGTAAGGAGAGGAGTGGATTTTAAGACAGAGTTATGTTCTAATTGATCTTTTTGGCAGAGGGTTTGAGAGAGTTGGGGAGGGCGGGCGACGGCTGGTGAAGATGCTGGAGCCTCTCTCTAGAGGGGACAGTGCAGTGAGACCTGGACCAGCATGGAGGCAGCCGAGCAGGATGGACTAGGACTGCTTGGGGACTGAGATGCCGGCCAGGCTGGGGAGGGAGGATTTGGGAAGGGTTCAGGCTGGACCTCGGGGATGGTGTTGAGTGTGTTGCCATGGGCCAGTACTCAGGCCTGGCTTCCCATGGCCAGCAGGGGGCCCCCAAGGCCTGGCCTGATGTGCACTGGGGAATCTGGGGAAAATGGACTGTTTGGATAGTATTTGTAGTGGGACCCTCTGTGGATCACCAACCCAGGTCTGGGTCTCAAGTAATCTGTAACAAGGGGATACCAACACCCACCTCATCACCACCGGTACTCCATCCCTACTGCTGTCCAGAGGCTCAGTCACAAGGACCTATTGGGTTGACCTCTGGGAGAGCACCCAGCACAGGGCTTGGCACTGGAGACCAAGGAGTAAGTGATTCCCTCTCTTTCTCTGTCCACCCTCCAGCTATGCTGTCGAGCGCAAGATCGAGCCTTTCTACAAGGGCGGGAAGGTGCAGGTACCAGCTCGTGGGGGGCAGGGCAGAGTGGGGGGCAGGCAGGGATTACTGTGTTACCTTGGCTGAGACCCTCTCTGTCACCAGCTGGACCAGACTGGGAAGTACCTCTTCTGCGTCTGTGGTACCAAAGTCAACATCCTGGATGTAGCCTCAGGGGCCATCCTGCAGAGCCTGGAGCAGGTGAGGGCAGGGAGAGCCAGGGTTAGGGACTGGTGTGGAAAAGCAGCCTATTCTCATAGCTTTCTGTGCGCCCACTCTTCCCCCAGGAGGACCAGGAGGACATTACTGCCTTTGATCTCAGCCCTGATGATGAGGTATCTGGGGCAGGGGTGGAAGGTGGGCTCCAGTATTTCCCAATCAAACAGCCTATGAGGATGGGTCCTCTACCCCCGACCCCCTAGGTAAACTACATCCTCTCCTAGGTGCTAGTGACAGCCAGTCGGGCACTGCTGCTGGCTCACTGGGCCTGGCGAGAGGGCAGTGTCGTCCGCCTGTGGAAAGCGATACACACAGCCCCTGTGGCCACCATGGCCTTCGATCCCACCTCCACCCTGCTGGCCACAGGTAGGGCCCAGCAGGTGGACGGGCCGGCTGGCGGGCACGGGGCTTTGGGCACACCAGCCCCCTCACCTCAAACATGTTTCCACAGGCGGCTGTGACGGGGCTGTGCGTGTCTGGGACATTGTGCGGCACTATGGGACACACCACTTCCGGGGCTCGCCAGGTGTCGTGCAGTGAGTAGGGCAGCAGAGCCTGGGTGAGTGGGGCATCATGGTGGGATAGCACAGCTCACCTGCCGCCCCTCCCTGTCTGCAGTTTGGTGGCCTTCCACCCGGACCCCACACGCCTGCTGCTCTTCTCAGCCACAGATGCCGCCATCCGCGTGTGGTCGCTACAGGACCAGTCGTGCCTGGCTGTCCTGACTGCCCACTACAGTGCTGTCACCTCACTTAGCTTTAGTGCTGATGGCCACACCATGCTCAGGTCAGTAACCAGCTGCCCAGGTCTCAGCAGGCAGGGAGGGCCATGGCGGAGACTCGGGAACTGAGGTGGCTGTTTCCCCAGCTCGGGCCGGGACAAGATCTGCATTGTCTGGGACCTGCGGAGCCACCAGGCCCTGAGGACCATCCCTGTGTTTGAGGTGGGGCACCTGGGGGGTCAGGGCCAGTGAGTGGGTTGGGTTGGGTAGGGAGTGGGGCTGCCACCTGAGACCTGCTCCTCCTTAGAGTGTAGAGGCCGCAGTGCTATTGCCGGAGGAGCTGGCACCCGAGCTGGGTGTGAAGTCCACGGGCCTGCACTTCCTGACAGCTGGCAACCAAGGTGCGTGGGGCCAGGGCAGGGAGCAGGGACTGGGCGTGGCCCGTGGACCTGAGTCCCAGCAGCCTCTCTCCCTGCGTAGGTGTGCTGCGCGTGTGGGAGGCGGCCTCTGGGCAGTGTGTGCACACACAGCAGCAGTTGTCAGGCCCTGGGCGGGAGCTCACCCACTGCACCCTGGTCCGAGCTGCTGGCCTGCTCCTCACCGTCACTGCCGACCACAACCTGCTGCTCTACGAAGCACGTTCTCTGAAGCCGCAGAAACAAGTGAGCACTGCCCCTGGTCAGCCCTGGGTCTGGGGAAGTAGACCCTCTTCTCACGTGAGCCCTGGCTCGTGTCCCTCCACCTGCAGTTTGCCGGCTACAGCGAGGAGGTGTTGGATGTGCGGTTCCTTGGGCCTGACGACTCCCACATTGTCGTGGCCTCCAACAGCCCCTGCCTGAAAGTATTTGAGCTACAGACGTCAGCCTGCCAGATTCTCCATGGCCACACAGGTGAGGGCGCCAGGCCAGCGCTCCTGGGACCCCTTCCCTTAACTCATCTCCGACCGTTCTCCTTCCACTTTTCTTTCAGATATTGTCCTTGCCCTGGATGTGTTTCGGAAGGGGTGGCTCTTTGCCAGCTGTGCCAAGGTGAGATACCCCAAGAGGTGTGGAGGCATAGGTCCCCAGTGGGAAAGTCGGGCCCAGCCTCTGTCCTCACCCCTCCCGACCGCAGGACCAGAGCATTCGCATCTGGAGGATGAACAAGGCTGGCGAAGTGACCTGTGTGGCTCAGGGCTCTGGGCACACACACAGCGTGGGCACCGTCTGCTGCTCTAGGTAGTGGGCCGGGGCTGGGAGCCAGAGTGTCACAGACGTGGAAACCTAGGCCCTGCTGATGGAGTCCCAGCTCAGGGACACGGAGAGGAGAAGGTGGTGCCTTTGACCTTGCTCTTTGAAGCTTTAACCTAGGGATTAGAGTAACGAACGAATGGGCCAGGAGCACCCCAAGTGCCATTGTTGGGTGGGGGTTCCTAGGAAGTGCCTTGGAGCTGGGTGGATGAAAGGGGCAGGATGTTGGGGCAGAGAGGACGACACTGAACAAGTGCAGGTTGAGAAGGCGCTCCTTGTATGTAGGCCTGGGGTCCCATTGTTGGGACAAAGTCACCTGGGGTGGCGGCACCGAGGGCAGGCGGCGTGGGCTTGCAGTGCAGACAAGTGGTCCCGGAGAAGTGTCTGGGTACCTCAGGCCATCTGCCTTCTGGAATGGCCCTCTGATCTGGACCACGGTCCTGCAGGCCTGAGCTGTGGTGCACGGGCAGACTGGGCTGGCCAAGGCTCATCGGGCGTCTTTCCCTGCGCCCCCACTGGGCTTTAGGCTGAAGGAGAGCTTCTTGGTGACGGGCAGCCAGGACTGCACTGTGAAGCTGTGGCCCATCCCCAAAGTCCTGCTGTCCAAGAGCACAGCCCCGGACAGTGACCCTGTTCTCCTACAGGCCCAGGCGACACAACGCTGCCACGACAAGGTGAGCACACGGGGGTGGCACTGGGGCAGGCCCTCACCGGGGCAGGGGTATCTGAGCTGCCACCTGTTGCCATCACTAGGACATCAACAGTGTAGCTGTCGCTCCCAATGACAAGCTGCTGGCCACAGGCTCACAGGACCGCACAGCCAAGCTCTGGGCCCTGCCACAGTGCCAGCTGCTGGGTGTCTTCTCAGGCCACCGGCGTGGCCTCTGGTGTGTCCAGTTCTCACCTATGGATCAGGTGCTGGCCACTGCCTCGGCTGATGGCACTGTCAAGCTCTGGGCATTGCAGGACTTCAGCTGCCTTAAGGTAAGCGCCCCCCACCCCAGGCCCGTCCCCCACCCCAGTCCTAGTCCCTCCCGGATGCCGTCTCATACCCTCCCTGTCTCAACCCTGCAGACTTTTGAGGGGCATGATGCGTCTGTGTTGAAGGTGGCCTTTGTGAGCCGGGGTACACAGCTGCTGTCCAGGTGACTGGGCTGGGGACAGGGCAGGGGTGGTGGTGAGCTGGGAGACAGGTCCCAGCGCTGAGCCCCCTCCAATCCCAAACCCAGCGGCTCTGATGGGCTCGTGAAGCTCTGGACCATCAAGAACAATGAGTGTGTGAGGACGCTGGATGCCCACCAGGACAAGGTCTGGGGGCTGCACTGCAGCCAGCTGGACGACCGTGCTCTTACCGGCGCCAGTGACTCCTGTGTCATCCTCTGGAAGGTGTGTGGGCATTGGTGCAGTGGGCGAAGAGTGGGCAGGGCAGCATGAGGTTCCACTCTGACCCCAGTCTGACCCTAGGATGTTACCGAGATGGAGCAGGCAGAGGAGCTGGCCAAGCGGGAGGAGCAGGTGGTCAAGTAAGTCTGGAGGGTTCCGACCGAGCCTCCTTGTGAGTGCCACCTACCATGCATCAATATCAGCCTCTCCCTCGGGGTAGGGTATATTAGCATCAAGAACAATGCTTTATAGCAGGGGGAAACTGAGGTTTGGAGTGCTGACACAGGTCACCATCAGTGAGTGCTCAGGCCAGGTCTGCTGACTCCTAAGCCAGCTCCCTCATGGCTCTGCCTTCAGCTCCAGCCCCAGCCATGTGGCCCTCTCCTCCCTTCCCCCGCCAGGCAGCAAGAACTGGACAACCTGCTCCAGGAGAAGCGGTACCTGCGGGCACTGGGCCTGGCCATCTCCCTGGACCGGCCCCATACCGTGCTGACTGTTATCCAGGGTCAGTGCTACCTCAGGGGCCTGACAGGCGGCCGTGGAGGGGGGACGAGGGTCCTCTCAGGTCTGTCCTCCTTCCCTGCGGCTTATCTTCCCTCCTGCAGCCATCCGGAGGGACCCTGAGGCCTTGGAGAAACTGGAAGCCACCGTGCTCCGACTTCGGCGAGACCAGAAAGGTCTGGGGCAGGAGGGTAGAGGCTGGACAATGACTGGTATGATGGGGTGGCCAGCAGGCAGGTCTGACCATCCCCTCACCTGCAGAGGCCTTGCTGCGCTTCTGCGTCACGTGGAACACCAACTCGCGGCATTGCCACGAAGCCCAGGCCGTGCTGGGCGTGCTCCTGCAGCACGAGGCCCCGGAGGAGCTGCTGACGTACGAAGGCGTGCAGGCCTCGCTCGAGGCCCTGCTGCCCTACACAGGTAATGGCCACAGCCCAGGGTGGCGGCGGGAGCAGCCTGGCCAGGCCCTGGACCCCCTGACGTCCTCTGTCGTCCCCAGAGCGGCACTTCCAGCGGCTCAGCCGGACCCTGCAGGCAGCCACCTTCCTGGACTTCCTGTGGCACAACATGAAGCTGCCCACCCTCCCCGCCGCCCCCTCCGCCCTCTGAATGCCACAAGGTTGTTTGTTTGTTTGTTTGTTTTTTATTGTTGTTTTTTGTTAAAACACCAGAAGGTTTTATCCCAGTTCCCTGTGTCTGTTAGGCTTTTGTCTCACCCCAGGTCCCAGGCTACAGCCTTGGCCAAGCATCATCCCTGTGCCTTGGCCTGTGCAATCCAACAGGCCCAGCCCCTCAGCATGGACACTTCACTCAGAGGAAACGGGAGAGTATAGCTTCCTGGCCCTGCCGGCCACAAGTCCCACCCTCAAATGCACCTCCCCCTGCCCTGGGGGGGTGGGGTACACACACTCTCTCCATGCGGTTCACACACCCTCAAGGATGTCCCTGACTCCGTGGGTCCCTCCCCAGTGCCCTACGGGTGATGGTGCAGCAGCGATTCTGAATGGCGCTCAGCAGGGGGCGGGCTGGCACGGTAGGAGGAAGTGTCGTGACCTGGGGGGACTTGGGGGAGCTTTGGGCTTCCCCCGCCCTGTTCTCTCCCCGCTCTGCCCCAGAATGGAACTCTGGTCCGTTCAGGAGCATGCCGAGCCCATCTGGCTGCAGTAACACAGAGGGGAGAAGCCCTGTGCGGCCCCCGAACCTGCAAGGAGGGCAGTTTGGTTAGCACCTGGCCCTGCCCTCCCAACCCCATAGACTGCCCCCTCCCCCACCAGAGCCCCACCTGCACAGCCACCAGCCTCGGTCGGATGTTTCCAGCACGCGCACTCTTGCCCCCGCAGGCACTGACAGCTCGTCGGCCTGGCTGCCTTCATAGGCTTGGGAAGCACAGAACTGGGAGCCTGGGAGTGGGTTTTTCGGTGGTTAGCACAGGGCTTCCATCTCTGTCCCCTCATCGATCTCTCACTGCGTCTCTGCTAGTGCCAGGACCATTCTAAAACCCTCTATGGGCCCAAGTACATACTAGGAGACTGCTGCCACTGCCTAGTCCTTCCACTGCTCTCACCCTTGGGTCGGGTGCTCTCTGTCCCCCAGCCTTGCTGCACCCTGCCCAGCAGTGGGGGAGGCGGGGGGAGGGGCATTGGGTGGGGATTGGTCTCATTACCGCTATTCCGGAAGGGCTGTCTCCCATCTTGTCCCTGGCCCAGGGCCACCTCCTCCAGGTAGGGAGCAGGAAACCATGCCGTCTGCTGGTCTTCATTAGCCACCAGCCACCAGCCTGTACACAAAGGTGGGCCGGGGTTCAGATCCCCAGGCACACTGGGATCCTGGCTGCAGCAGGTCAAGCCCCCAGACTCCTGCCCAGCCCACCTGAGGGGTGTCGCAGCAGCACGTCTAGGGCCTCCCGGGCCTGCGCATGGAAGGGTTGGCCCCGTGTATCCTGGGTGCTGAAGGGCTGCAGACAGTGCAGGCTCAGAGCCTCCAGACTGCCTATGGCAAGACTGCCCTCGGGGCGGGGTGGGGGCTCTTCCTGGACGGGCAGGATCACCAGGCTGGAAAGGGCGGTCACAGGAGAGAGGTGTGGGGATGGGCTGCCACCTTACCCAGCCTTGTGCTGCCTAGGCCCTTTCTCCGTCATTCGGCCCCCACCACCAAATGCTTCCCGTGGGAGTTGGGGGTGGGTCAGGCACCTGCCGGGCGGTAGTGAAGGCTCCAGGTCCTGGAGCTGCGGCTCAAAGAAGGTGATGAGCGCCGGCCCCCTGGACACTCGCTCTGCCTCCAGCAGCGCCCGAGCATAGGTCTCCAGCAGCCGCAGGCGCACCAGCCCGCGGCCTGTGCGCCCTCCACGCGCCAGCAGCGATGTAGATGCGTCTGTGGGGACCACAGGGGACAGATCATGGGACCCCACCCCAGGGCTCCCCTCACCAGGTTGCTGCTCCTGCCCCTCCCCTTACTCCTCCCAGAATCCCTGGTGCCTGACCGGGAAGTTTGGGGAGAACTCGGTCGGATCTCCGCAGCAGGCCTGCCTCCACCGGGAAGGTCTTCTTGAGGATCTTCTAAGGGAGAGAACTGGCATGTTGGTGTTTGAGGGCCCACTGGGTAACCGTGGGAGGGGGGAGGGATCTCCTGGGATCGCAGGGGCTAGAAGCCCGCACAGTGCGAGGGCAGGCATGGTGGGGCTGAAGCTCCTTTAGAGGAAGTCCCAGGTTCACTCACATGGAGCCTCTTGAATTCCTCCCAGCTTCTCCGCACCAAGGTGTTGCTGTCATCCGACCAGCACACAGAGAAGGCGAACATCTGTTTGGAGGAAAGGCTGGGGCACCTGGGAGGGACTGGGCCCTGAACTTCCTCCCTCCCCCCCCTCCCTCCCTCCCCCTTCCTTCCCTACCTATTCTTCCTAAAGTCCACAGGGACCAGCACTTACTTGGAGCTCCTCTATTTGCACCAGAGCTGTTGCCCGGACTGACACTGGGTGCCTAGGGCCCACCATAGCTGTGGTCTCGGGTCTAGATCGTAGGCTTCTGGAGTCAGAAGTGGTTGGTAATCACCTGCTGCTCCCCAACCACACAGGGACGAGGTGAAGTACCCGGAAGATGGGTTGGAATTCCCCTGATGCCTCAGACCTGCCAGGTCTTTGCAGCACTGCCCTCCCCCTGTCGTCCTTAGCTTCCTCATTGGCCTCCAGCTGAAGATCTGGGGAGCAGGAGGGGGGGCACAGAGGTGGTGGAGGGGCTGGGACTGCTGCCATGGCAGGTGGAGAAGTAAGAGCCCATCAAAGTGCCGCTGGGCCTGGACCCCCCTCCCTGCTCTCCCAGTCCTGCATAATGCTGGGGTTGGTGAGAGCCTCCTGCCAAGGTGTGCCCCACTGCACTGCCTTTGAACTTGCCTGGACAGTTAGTACAGTTGTCATTGGGAACGACTTAATCCGCCCTCACACTGGAGGGAAGATTTCTCAATGTCCCCGAGACACCAAGGAGGAAATTTGTGTTAAGTGAATAATGTTAGTATTTCTGTACGTGTTGGGGAGGGGCGGGTCTCACAGGCTCACCCCAGAGGTTCCCTCCCTGTGGTGGTCCCTCTACAGTCCCTGGCACTGGGGGGAGGGGGGCTGACTAGGATTGTTTTGAGAGTTGCCTCTAAATTTATTATAATTTATTACAAGTTACTGCAAACACAGACTCTGAGATCAGGAGTGACCATTCCCCCACTGGATGGTGAGAAGACCCTAAGTCTCCAGAGCAGGTGCCCACAATTCCGGGCTGCTCTTTCTCACAGGGGAGGTTTCTGGAGCCCCATCTAACCTTGGTGCACAGTGTTCCTCCTGCTACTGAGGCTGCCAGCTCTGTGTTGGGACCCCATCTCAAGCCCTTCAGGGAGGAGTCAGTGTCTGGGCATCCCTCCAGGAAACCACCTGGCCTGGACAAAGGGCTTTTGTGTGTCCCTCCAGCGGCTCGCTCTGAAGCTTTCAAACCTTCACTGGTCTTGGCCTGGACAGTGAACACCTGTTGGTATAGGCCTTTAGCCCAACTGTCTCACTCTCCCCAATCTCAGGGGGGGCTAAGCTGAGGGCATTTGGCCTGGCAGAGTCCAGGTAGGAACAGACCCTGCTCCCCTGGAAGACAAAGGATAGAAGCTAGGGAAGAGCCAATTTACTAGCAGCCAGGAACCTAGAAGGCTGCCGAGGCCCCTCAGTAACCCACTGATAACCCCCTGCTTCTACACTCCCCACAACCCTGGATCCTTTCCACTCTTCCCCTCTCCATAGCCCCCACCCTTATCTCTCACCTGGGCAACTACAACCCCCCCCCCCACACACACACACCCCTAATGCCCACGTTCCTTACTTGCTCCCATGAAGTTGACTCCAGAGTAGGGGTGTCGAACTCAATCAGAGAAGGGGCCAAAATCTAAAATCCAGCCTAAATCGCGGGCCGAATGGTTTACTGAACAGTCATAAACTGTCATTGTGATGGAAACGCAGCGGAGTGCAGTGATGACAGCGCGGTGAGGGCCACATTGCAAGGCCTGACGGGGCGGATTTGGCCCGCGGGCCTTGTGTTTGACACATGTGCTCCAGAGGAATCTTTGCAAAACAGAAATGGAATCAGGTAGAGGTAGCCCTACCCAAAACTGTCCAGTAGGTTCCCACAGTTCTCAGAATAAATTCCCAGTTCCCATAGCAGCCCACCTCTGGATTTCTCCCCAGGTCCTGTCCCACTGCCTTTCAGCCTATGCTGAGACTTCCGAGAATCTGGCGGGTCCTGGACCCGAACCTCCAGCCTCGTCCATGACTGCCCCCTTCAGCTGATTCCATATCCTTTAGGCCTCGGCATAAGGGTCGCCTTCTCTAGAAGGACGCCTGAATTTGCCACGCCCTCTTAGGGCTCCCACCCCACCCCATCTTGACCCCAGGACTAGGATGTCAGTGTTGGATGTTGATACCCGCCCTGCCCAGCGCCGGGAATAGTGTCTGGAACAGATGAGGCAATTACACACTTATTTGCGGGAAGACTGATTAGGGACAGAAGCAGAGTTCCCGGAGGCACAGCTTCCTGGGTTTAATTACTTCCCGCAGGCGGGTTCGCGCAGAAGCTCAGAGGCGCTGCCTCCTTTGCAGGCACAGGCCCCGCCCCGCCCCCGGGACCTCCCCTAGGGCGCCCCGCCCTCTGCGCTCAGGCCCCGCCCACGTTGCCCTAGCGCCGCGAAGCGGGCTGCGGGCGTCCCCCGGGTGGAAGTCTCAGTGCTGGCTCCGGGCACGCGGGACGGTCGGAGGGAGCCATGGTGCCGTTGAGGGTCGAAACACGGATTTCGCCTCGGCCGCCGTCCGAGTCCACCTTCCACCACACGCTGCTCTTCTCCTGGAGGAGGCGGGCGCCTGGCCGAGGACTTCGCCAGCGGGGCTCGGGCCGCGGGACAAGGCCCAGGGGCGTGGGCAGCACCCGGGCCTCTGCCCCCGCCTCGGACCTGGGGCCGGAAAATCCGGCGGGTCCTTGACCCGAGCATCAGCCTCAGGCTCTGCCTCCTTCCGGGAGCGGCCCGGCTCCAGCCCCGCCCCCTCCGGGCTCCGCCTCCGCGCGGACCCAGACCCCGCGCCGCTCAGCCCGGCCTCCGCTCCGAGCCCGCGGCGAGCGCGCCGGCTCCCGTGGCCGCGCTCGGTGGCTGCGCGCACGCGGTCTGAAGGCCGACTGGGAGGCCCTTCTGGAGGCCCGGCTGGCCCGGCAGGCACTGCGCGGGCAACATGGCGGCGCCCAGCGAGCGGGGGCGCTTCGGGGTCGGGAACCTCTTCTCCTTCCTGCCCGGCGGCGCGCGCTCCGAAGCCATGGAGGACCTGGTGACGGATGCGCGCGGCCGGGGCGCGGGACGGAGAGACTCCGCCGCCGCCCCGGCCCCATCTCCAGCCCTGGCACCGACCCCCGAACCTCAGGCCGCCGAGGACGGTTCCCGGAGACGGCACTGCCGGGCCTGCGTGGACTTCAAGTCGTGGATGCGGACGCAGCAGAAGGTGCAGATGCGGAGAGGGGGGGGGCGAGAGGGGGGAGGCGGGGGCCGCCTCTCCGAGGCTTGCAAGCCCTGCTCACCCCTAGCCCCGGCCCGCACAAGATTTCTCCTCTCGCCCCGGCCCCCTTCTTCCCCCGCAACACACACACCGCGCGTTCTCAGGCTCGCGGGGCAGGCCTCCCGACGCCCCGGGCCTCCCGACACCACTGCCCCCAGGGTTGGTTGTTCCTGAACCTTGCCCCCAAGGCAGGCCCGGCCTCACAAGGGCCCGACCTGCCCCAGGGACTAACGTTTGGCGTCTGGGCCTCCGGCCGGGGAGGAAAAAAGGGGAGCTTCACAGGCTTCTGGAACGGGAGACTGAACTGACCCTCCGCCTCCTTCCGCAGCGGGGCAGCAAATTTAGGGAAGATTGTCCTCAGGATCGTGAGGAACTGGGCCGCCACAGCTGGGCCGTCCTCCACACCCTGGCTGCCTACTACCCCGACCTGCCCACCCCAGAACAACAGCAAGACATGGCCCAACTCATACACTTGTTTTCCAAATTTTACCCATGTGAGGAGTGCGCAGAAGACATAAGGAAGAGGTGAGTTATTCTGTACCGCCTGCAAGCAGCAGCACATCCCACCTGGAGCCTGGGCCCGGGGCGCTTGACGGATGTCATAAAGGAGAGCCTCAGAAATAGGTGCAGAAATGGCAGAGTTGCCAAGAGCAGGGACCACAACAGGGGCTTGGATCATCAGCCATCTTTCTACTCAAAGGGCAAGCAGCCTGGGGCCGTTTGGCACCCATAGGCGTTTCTTGGCTGGATGTGGGGGCAAGGCAGCCCTTGCCGGTTGAAGGTTGAAGCCTGGGCCGTTAGAACAGATCTGCTGAGCTTAGGCACCAGGGCCCTGGGTGCCAAGACCAGTTTCTAACTTTAATTACGCCATTGTGCAGGCCCCACCCTTTCCACATTGCCTGGGGCCATGGTGAGGCTTCCTGATTGTTATGAGGCTGGAAAGTTGCCTGATCTGTTAATGCCTTGCCCTGGGCTCTTGTGAGGGTTTATCCAGCTCCCAAGTGAGGTTTTGAGCTGGCCTAGGCTTCCACCAAGCCTGGACACTCCCGCTCAGCCCTGTTCTGGGAATTACTGTCTCTTAGGACATGAGCTACACCCGGGTGTAGCTTACAGCAGCATCCCGTCTCTGAATTGACCACTGCCTGTCATATTCCATGTGCTTCCCCCCCACAGGATATATAGGAACCAGCCAGACACGCGCACACGGGCGTCTTTCACCCAGTGGCTGTGCCGCCTGCACAACGAGGTGAACCGCAAGCTAGGCAAGCCGGACTTCGACTGCTCTAAAGTGGATGAGCGCTGGCGTGACGGTTGGAAGGATGGCTCCTGCGACTAGAGGGCGGCCAGCGAGAGCCCATGGGGCTGCCTGGCTAGAGAGAGGGTCGGGGAAGTCATTAAAGTGCACCTAGCACTCTTCAGTGTGTGCAGAGCAAGAGCCTGTTGTGTTGCAGTTGGGTGTTCCCCAGCCACTTCCCATGGGGCCCTTTCCTCCTCAGGGTGCCTGCTGATGGCACCCTGATGGCCTCCTCAGCTGAGCCCCTGTGGAGCTGCAGGTGAAGGAGTAACAGCCTAGGCTGCCCCTTCCCCTTTCTTACAATACGTGTTTTTATTGATTTTTAGAGGGGGAGAAAGAGAAACATCAAAACACTGATCAGGTGCCTCCTGCACGCCCCCTACTGGGGATTGAGCCTGCAGCCAGGCACGTGCCCTGGCCAGGAATCAAATGGTGACCTCTTCGTTCATGGTTGATGTTCAGTGACTGAGTGACAAGGCCAGGCTAGGCTGTTGCTTTTCTCAGGATGTGGCCGCCTGCCCATCTCACACCCTGGTGCCCACTTCCCCACACAGGAAGGAGATAGTCTTGGCTGGGCTCCTCTGTCTCACAAAATCCTTGAGACCAGGCCATTGTCTCCCCGCTGTGGCTAGACACAGCCGCAGTGACTGTAGGTGGCCTCTGAGGCTGTGTGCTCTTTGCCCTTCAGGAAAGAGGCCCGAGGCGGAGCTTCCCACCCTGCTCAGTCCCTACAGGGAGGGCAGGTGCAGGCATGGCTCCTCTCTGAGGGTCACCGACACCGCAGCTCCTTTCTGTTCAGCACGGCCTTCCATCGCAGTGCCGGGCTCCTCAGAGGCTTCGTGGGTCGGCTCCCTCGGATCTCGAGACTAAAATAAAATGCTGAAGAAGTGACTTGAGAACCTGCCTTCAGTGTGTTTGCTGGATTTCCAGTAATGGACAGGCCTGCCCTCCTCTGGTCAGCTGCTTCCTCCTGTCCATATTCTGGCTCCTTAGAAAGAGAGGTCCCAGGAGAAGAATGGGCCAGGATATTCCAGGAACAGCGGGGAGGCTGGATTCCTGGGGCTGGGGGAGGGGGGTGGTGGTGGGGGAGGTGTGTGTTAAAGAGGTGAAGGGGAGTCAGCATGAAGTCCTCAAGGCCCCAGCAAGGTCATGGTTTTAACTCCCAGCTTCTGTGGAGGATTTGGAGCTGAGAAATAGTGAGTTGGGACTTTTGAAAGTTTCCTCTGAGCTGGGATGCAGCAGGCATGGGTGGAAGCAGGGGGAGCGGCACCCATGTATCAGCTGAAGGGGAAGCTGGCGCAGGGTGGATGGCAGAGGGTGCCGGATAGATTCTGAGGGTACAGAAGAGGAAAAGCCAAAGGTGACGGGGGTTCTGGCACAAGAAGCTGGGAGGAAGGAGTTGCCCTTTGTATCTGAGATGAAGGCTGTGAGAGGAGCGGGTTGGGGTGACCTGGACCCAGCTTTTGAGCCTTTGTGATCTGCTCAGCCATACCTGCTCCCAAGTCTTGGCTCCCAGCAAGAATGTCACAGCTCTGATCTCCTCTGTCCCCTGTGCTTTAGCTTCTCACCACTTTCACTGACCTGTTCTCCCAGGGGCACTGGCTTCCACAACATGCTACCCAGGTGACACGAAGAAATGGGCGGGGACTAGTCAGCAGAGAAGTTGCTCTTCCTCCCCTTGATGGACTGTCCCCAGCATATCTCTGGTCTTTCCTGAGTAGCCTGTGAGCTATTGTGGTCAGTTCAAGAACATACCACCTGTATTTGCTCTCGCTTCATTTCCCTTATTCCCTAACTCGCTTCCCTGAAGTTTCACCCCCTAATAAAACTCAGACTTTGCCACAGACCTTTCCTTGGCAACCAGGTGAAGGAAGACAAGTGGGACTCCAGTCCAAGAGAAGGTTCTGGCTGGAGCTATCGGCACAGTCCAATAGCAGAGAGAGGAGCCACGATATGCTCTGGGGCCTCCGAGGATCACAGGTTGGACAAGAGGAGGAAACCTGAAAGGGTTACGAGGAAGGGCCTGAAAAGTAAGAGGAATGAGGAGAAGATCACATTCATTAGAAGCCTTGCTAGGAGGTTGGGGACTTCAGTGTCTGAATTGACCCTGTAAAGGGAGCAGTGACATGGGGACAGCTGGAGCGGCAATGGGGTCAAGAGTTGATTTTTTTTTTAAATATATTTTATTGATTTTGTACAGAGAGGAAGGGAGAGAGAGAGTTAGAAACATCGATGAGAGAGAGTCATCGATCAGCTGCCTCTTGCACACCCCCTACTGGGGATGTGCCCACAACCAAGGTACATGCCATGCCCTTGACCGGAATCGAACCCGGGACCCTTCAGTCCCCAAGCCGACGCTCTATCCATTGAGCCAAACCGGTCCCGGCAAGAGTTGATGTTTTTTAATATAGAAGAAAGTGCAGCATGTTTGGGTGTTGATGCAAATGATTAAGGGGCAAGTGGATGATGTAAGAGACCAAAACAGTAGCTGTCAGGTGAGAAGTGGGACTGGGTGCAGTTGAATGCACTTGACAGAGACTGGTGGGCAGTACTGGGCACACCTGCCCTGGCATGGGTTTCCAGGAGGCTGGGCCAGGCACCACCCTCTGAACACTTAGATGCCATGACAGAGACCTGGATTCGAGTCCCAGTTCTTCCCTTTATATGACCCAGAACTCGGCCAGTCTGCCTATTAACCACCTGAGAAATGGGGGTGATGACAGCTCCTTCCCCACAGGCCATGATGAAGTACTTGGCACTGTAAGTGCTCAACAAATGCACACTTGTCTTATCATTGCCCTAAATCAGCGGTCACCAACCTTTCAGACCTCACGGACCACCAGTTGGCGACCACTGCCCTAGATAGAAACAGGAGTCATCCGGGCTCGGGCTGGGCTGGGCTGGGTCAGGCTGGGCTGGGCTGGAAGGAACCTGAAAGAAGGGGCATTAACTGGGAGCCTGGGCGGCTATGGAAAAGACCCAGCAGTGGTACTGGGCCAGACTCCTTTCTCTCTGTTTCTCCCTACTCCTTGGCTCCAAACTAAATTGTCGGTCACAAGTCAGTCCAGGAAACTCAGGAGTGTGGAAGGCTCAAAACAACTTTGGAATGACACCTGGCCACCCACAGGAAAGGAGCAGAGATACCCCAACACCCACTTACTATTTTTTAAAAATAAACTGCAATTGTTTTCTTTTTAATACATTTTATTGATTTTTTACAGAGAGGAAAGGAGAGGGATAGAGAGCTAGAAACACTGACCAGCTGCCTCCTGCACACCCCCCACCAGGGATGTACCCGTAACTAATGTACATGCCCTTGACCGGAATCGAACATGGGACCCTTGAGTCTGCAGACCAATGCTCTATCCACTGAGCCAAATCAGTTTGGGCTGCAATTGTTTTTAAAAATCTTTTTTTAAATATATTTTATTGATTTTTTAAATATATATATTTAAATATATTTTATTGATTTTGTACAGAGAGGAAGGGAGAGAGATAGAGAGTTAGAAACATCGATGAGAGAGAGTCATTGATCAGCTGCCTCTTGCACACCCCCTACTGGGGATATGCCCGCAACCAAGGTACATGCCCTTGACCGGAATCGAACCCGGGACCTTTCATTCCCCAAGCCGACGCTCTATCCATTGAGCCAAACCGGTTTCGGCTATTTTATTGATTTTTTACCACTGAGCCAAACCGGTTTCGGCTGTTTTTTCTTGTTTTTAAATATACTTTATTGACTTTTTTACAGAGAGGAAGGGAGAGGGATAGAGGGTTAGAAACATCGACAAGAGAGAAATATCCAATCCGCTGCCTCCTGCACACCCCCTACTGGGGATGTGCCTGCAACCAAGGTACGTGCCCTTGACCGGAATCAAACCTGGATCCCTTCAGTCCACAGGATGCTTTATCCACTGAGCCATACTGGTCAGGACCCCAACTCCCACTTATACTGGCCTATGGGCTTTGCCCACCTGGACAGGTGTCCCTGGTAGTAGAGACCATTCTCTATATCAGGTGGTTAGGACCCTCTGAAGGAGAAGCTAGGGTGCAGTGTGTGTGGAGGGCGGGGGGAGAGGTCATGGCGGGTAAAGGACCCAGTGATCAATCTTTGGTTTGCAGGGGACCCAAACCAGGGAGCCCTGTTCCTAGTTCCCTAGAGGGAAAGACACTAGAGCCATCTGGCCTCAGTTACACATTTATGAGAGGGCCCTGCTCAGAGGAGAGGCGCGGGGTCAGGTCCCCTCTGTCCATCTGCCAGGCAACAGCAAAGGCGGAGCCTTTGTGAGGGCTGGTGCAGGCCCAGCTCCTTGCACTGCCCCCGGATGGTGATCTGGTGAGTCCATCTTGGACCCGGGTCGTGAAGCTGAGGGGTGGGGGTGGAGGGACAGCGGACGGGAGGGACCAGAGGGCTCCAGCCTGGTGCGTGGACCAGGGAGGGGGTGCGGGCTCGGCCCCGCCCCGCGCGTGCCCGCCGCGGCCAGTGCGCGCTCCCGGAGGGAGGAAGGCGGCAGAGGCGGCGGTGGCAGCTTCAGCGGCGATCGCAGCAGCCCCGGGCGGGTGATCCTGGGCAGGGCCCCAGCCCAACAGGCTGGTAGAGGGGCCCCGGGGTGCGCGCCCCGCGGGGGCCAGCCATGGAAGGAGCTTCGTTTGGCGCGGGCCGTGCGGGGGCCGCCCTGGACCCCGTGAGCTTCGCGAAGCGGCCCCAGACCCTGCTGCGGGTCGTGTCCTGGGTAAGTGGCCACCATCCCGGTACCCGATCCCACCGGGGCCCTCGCCCCCATCCTCTTCCTCGCCGCCCCCTCCCTTGCGGGCCGCAGGTTGGGGTGACATCACCGTGTCGGGCGTGCCCACCTGGGGCGGGGAGGGTCTGGCGACGACAGCCTGGGACCTTGAGAGGTCACTTCCCGCTGCCCCCATCCCCAATTCCCCCTGAGGTCACACAGTCCGCTTCCTAAGCCCTCGCTCCGTTTTTCTTGTCTCATGACCTAGAAGCAGGCACAGGGGTGGGGACGGGATTCAGCCTCAGCCCAAGGAGGGGGCTGTGGGAGCTGAGAGAATCTGGCACAGCCTCCCCTTCTTCTGCACTCACATCCTCCAGGCCCCTTTGAAGGGAGCTGGCCCTCCCCAGGCCCCCCAGTTGCCACTGTGAGTTTCGGGGGGGGGGGTGATCAGGGATCCTCTGGGTGGGGCAACCAGATGGGGCTGTACTTCGGGATGGTTGATGGGTGGTGAGGGAGGGGCAGATTTTAGGGGCAGTCCAGCTTATCAGGGCATCCCTAGGCTTGCTTGGTGGCCTGCTCCTCCTCCTCCTCCTCCAGGTAGGAGAGATGGAGGGGAGGGGCCGAGGTCTGCTGGTCTTGAGGAGGGCAGTGCCCGGTGTAGGGCAGGGGGTTGCCAGCTTCCTCAGGGACTGACTCTGGCCAGACCAGGACATAGGAACCCTACCTTCAGGTCCCAGCTCTGGTTCGACTTGTGCACCACTCCAGGGGTGGGTCTAAATCCTGCACCTCAGTTTCCCTCCTGACTATATCTCTAGGAACTAGGCTGGGAAAGGAGAGAAATGAAATTGAATCTGGATATCTTTTTTTTTTTTTTTTTTTTTTTTTTTTTTTTTTTTTTTTTTTTTTTTTTTAGAAACAGGCTTGCTCAGAGCTAAAAGAGCAGCATCTGGCTTAAAATAATCATGGTCTAGGATTTTAAAATAAAATGACTGTGTTCCACCTCCTACCGGCCTCCCAGCCGACGTGGGAGGGAAGTGGGGGGCAGGGTGCTGATGTTGGACTGAACCCCAGAGGTCAATCCTCTCGCCTTTTAAGCCCAAACACGTATAGCCATGTGGGGTCATCATCACTTGAGTGCCCACC